TAATTAAGCGGCGGTAGAAAAACGAATTCGTCGCAATGATAGTTTAATTGGAGATAATAATCGTACAAGCATTACTATATTTTAGCATTCGTTCAAGTTTGGTACTTCTCGAAATTGATCTTGCTTTAATCAACACTTTACACAAGTTAATTCGGAAACAGTATTTCTCTTGATTTAGAACGTAAACACCCCGCGTGTTAGTCGAAACAAATTCCTCCGCCTCCGAGAAAACGGTCGCAGAAATTACCATTCCAGAAACGTAGTTTCACATGTAAATGCCACTCTCGAAAATATCGTATTACTAATCCATGGACACACCACGTGTTTCCCTCGTAGCTTACACGTCCACGCGCGCCGGAACGTTTCGTTCCTCACGTTTTAAATAAAATATTTCCACCGTGAGTATTTTGCTGATCGACACAGGGTACAAAGAACGAAAGAGTTGAAACGAACACGCTACGTGTCGCTGGGACCGTTTAAAAAGGGGCGTCCAGAAATATCTACGACGACCGTAGAGGCGTAGATCGATCGTCGTGGCTGTTATAGTCGCGCTCGCGGCTCGTTCTTCGCCTTTAACGAGCTCGTAAATCACCGAAACCGTGTCCTTCGTTGCGGCTAGAAAGCTCAGAGATTTTCCAAAAGCTGTCGTCGGTTCTCGTTGTTCGATTTCCCCGCTCGAGCGCGAAACGCTCCGCCGGAGAGCGACACGCTCGAGAGGATCTCGATCCAGCGAAGCGTCTCGAGGCGCGCGATCGGTTCGAGATGGATCATCGCTCACGGCGATGCGTCGTTATGGTCGTTCATCGGACACGAGCATCGCTACCGAATAACTCCGTGTTTTACTACGTTCCCGAATAAATTAATAATAAATCCCAGTAACATCCATCGCGCGACTCCCGGAAACCCGACGAGCGGGTCCCACGATGCTGTTTTTTCTCGAGACAATATTGCCCCGTTCCCTTCGAGGCACCTCAATGAAACTTTAATTGCCAGGGAATCACGCTAATTACTCGACAACGCGATCGTTGCAGCGACAAGGACGATAAAAGGCTCCGTAACCCTATTAAGCCGTGGCTGGATTCTGTTCTTCTGTTCTGGAAACGTATCGGTCCGTCGTGTAGATCGCGCGTCGCCTATCTCGGAACGCCGTTCGCAATTAACATTCTCGTACGATGCACGATGAGGGCCACGGTGACAAATCACGCGAGATCGTTTCGCGTTGGGGGCTTCTAACGACCGAAGAATGGCTACCGATGCTGGCTAACCGGTACCACGAGCGTTCGATGCTCGTTTTCCGTTTCCCATCCGACATGGAACTCGGAAAGTGTCGAGCACACGCACCGGTGAAGCTAGCTTATCAATGAAATTCCGCGATCGAGAGCAACACCGTCGAGTCCCTCGCGAGCTGCAACTCTGGACCGAGTTGTTGCAACTTGCGAGGGTGGGACACGAAATTTATCGCTCTGGTTATTCCGGTTCGCCGGCTGCTGTTTACATCGAGGATGACAGTGACGTACAGCGAAAGAAAATACGAAACAGCGTTATTCGGTGATCGCTTGGTAACCCGAGGCGACGTTGATCGCGTTCCGTAGATAAGTCCCGAGAAACTGCATTCGCGAACGGTGCATATAAATTTATAATTCTTTCGCAGATTGATTTCCACGACCTTAAAGATCCGTCTACCATTTGCGAATAAATTCTATCCACGGTCTCCTCTCGAGCCGAGATTCGATCAGGTTGATTCGTATCCTCGATCCGAGCATTAGGCTCGTAGCGGTGCTTCTCGTCTTGGAGAATGCATCTATAAATCATGGTGCGCGATGAAACGTTCTTCTATTCGCGATCGAAATTAGAATCTCGATTCCAGCCAGCCTCCCTCGTAAGGTTAATGTCATAATTGCACGCATGATATATAATCGAAAGGAATGCCATGATTGGCTGCTTTCTAAACCAGCGAGAAGTCGGCGAACATCGCAGTCGAGGCCTGGCCAAACCAACGTAACCGCGAGATAGGTCTCCGATACCGTACTCACTATTAACGAACGTCTCGTTAATCAATGTAATCTCGCGAACGATATCGGTACAGAACGAATTTATAGAGCACACAGAGACCGTGGACGATGCTTTCTTTCGGTATAACGAATGGGCGAAACACCGTCGAGTTTCTTTTCGTCGGGCAACCATGGGTTTCTGTTTGATTTATCTATCTTATTCTATATATTTAGGTGAATACGGAAACTCTCGTGACTGCTATATCGCCACGACCTCGCGCTCCAAAGCGGCCAGTCAGGTATCGTTCGGTTACAGATCTCCTACGCTTCCGGTACGCAAGATACCGATCATTTTCTCTTTGAATTTTGATCAACCCGAATATCCAGTGTCTACGAATACGAAACTGTGATGCAATTTCTGTCAAACGAGGGGAAAAACCGTTGGTAGTTTCCCACAGAGATAGTCAAACTTCCTGTCCAGATAAAAATTAGAGTTCGCAAATAAATTTTAAAATTACTTAAGGAAATTGGATGTCTTATTATTAAAATAAGAGAGTCAGTAATTAATCGTGCGCTTCGTTAGCCCCTCGAGAGACGAGAAATCTCGGAGGAGATTTTCTCCGTGCTCGGATGGATTGCATTCTCGATAAAGGTGGCTCGAAAGCGCAGATTCCGCCGGGAAGTTCCTCGGGGCGCGCAAAACGAGGCCTCCGCGGGCCACCGGTGAACTTTCGAGTTTCGTTTTGCACGGATCCAGAGGCGCGGGACACGTGGAAATCAACCGCGGAGAAACGAGGGCGACAACCTCTTAGACACCGACGAAAATTGCCGTTTCTTTTTTTCTCTCGTCGACGCGTCACCCAGAAACTCGAAATACAAATGTCTTCGACGATGTACAGTTATCGACAAAGTAGCAGAATGTGTGTTACGGTGCAGCCCGGATTTAAAATTGCACTCGCCCGATATTATAATTGCATCGTCAAAAGAAGATAACTTTCAGGCTTAACCAGCCGTTTCTCCTGCTTCGTTTCTGCGGTCGTTATCGGAAGCACACGCGATTCCAACCGGAACGGCGGTTTCCACCTCGCTTCCCGATGGAATTGAATATTATAAAAAACCACTTTTGTTACTCAACGTATTTGCAATAACGCGTCGAAAGCCCTCAGGCTTCGTTAAAACATTTTCCACGAAGTTTATTCCGTTTGCGAGTTTTAAGATCGAATATCCCGTTCAATAAGAGACGGATTATTAATTTCAGAACCAATTACTCGTTTGTGTATTACAGTCGTGCAACGTTGACTATTTCTCGTGCTTGTTGAACCCATTCAAGCGCTCTGTTCTATCTGTCAACCTAGATATACGAGTTGATTAATTTATTTGTACGCGCAATCTTTATTTACGCATCGCATTCTTCGTTGTTGCGATGTGATATTCCAAACTAATGGGTCCTGTCCTATTTATAATTAGAAGTAAATTCGTAAGAGACGGAGCAGCCGGACAATTGGAGTTTCCCGCGCAAATACAAAGCAGAAACGACAATTTGGGAATCACTGACCGGTCGGTGTTTACAGTTGAGAATCTACAGCGCATGACATTCTGGTCGCGTTTCGATGCTTGGCTATGAAACAATTTGCGCCGATTAAATCGTCCAGTCTTTGAAAGTGTGTTTACACGCGTGTATCGTGTTCTATTGAAAGATTTTCTGCCACAGAGGAATTGCAATTCGATAGAAATTCGGAGCAAAAGTCTACGGGGATTCGAGCATCTTGCAGGTTAGTTTGTCGATCTATTGTAAGAGAACGATGCCATTCAACATTGGAGCAATTTTGATAATGAAACGATCGCGTAATTTTCACGGGAGGTTCCACACCGTAGGAGAAGAATTTCACGAGAGCTGGTAATGTCTCTTGTCACGATATCCACGATATCCACGCGATACTCGAGCACCGCGAACGCACGAACGCCACGATTACGTGTGTAACATTCTGGTTACACGAGACTCGAGCTAACGGCTCATAGAAGGTTGCAATTACCCCCCGGCTAAAGTTGCACCACGGGATAAGGGAACCGTGGTATCCCCGCTATCGCAAACCGCTTCGAACCGTCCGTCACCGTTCCAGATTCTCGCGAACATCGAGATAAAAGAAAAAAAAAAAAGAAACAGTCCGTTCGAAAAGGAGCTCGTCGTGTTTTGCAGTTCTCGCTGAAGAGAGTGGCAGCTCTGCGTGTGGCGCACGGTTTTCTAATTGAACGATAATAGAAAACGCGTTAAAAAGAAGCTAATAAAGCGTGGCAAAGAAAGTGCCCATTTTTACTTTCCATCGCGCGGGCTAAACCGCGAAAGGGTTAATTTCCAAGTTTCCCGCGGATATTCGTGCTTTCTAAGAGAAAGGTGTTAAACGCGGGTCGTTCGTATTCGCGGATTATAGCTTCCATGAAAATGCGACAACGAGGTGGCCCGTCGACGCCATAAATTTTCACGGCGCGGTGGAAAGCGGCGAACGGAATTTCTCAAGAACGAGACCTTTTTGTGGATCTCTTTTTCACAGAGGCTGGTCGCTCGCAAGCGACAATCTCTGTCAATATTTTCCCGGAATGACGGTACTCGTTTCGGACAGTTCTCCGTGATTGACACAGAGATACGCCACGGCAAACACAAGCCTGATAAAAAGCCACCGAAAACCAGGTAAATCGCAATATCGTTGATTCCTATCTGTCGCGGAGAAGACGCGAGGGGAAAAGAACGTTCGGGAGCTGTTGGAAGCGGGGCTCGTTAAATAGTTTTCCAGTCCAGCGGCGTCTCGACTATCGTTTATCAATTACCTTCGTCGGAGGACGTCGTAACGATATGCATAGCGTCGCGTGATAGTCGGCGAGCAGAAATTACCGTCGTTCTTTATTTTTCCTTCCTCGCGACTGATAAGAAATTCGACGACACGATAAGAAGTGCTGTGGCCGGGTCGACCTCGTTGTCGACTGCCTCTTCAGCCAAGAGGCAGTCTCGCCGACGCGCGGTCGGTCGCTCGGGACGTGCAAAAGTGAAATTCGCGGGTAATTGCCGGGACGATTACGATCGGGATCGTGCTGGCGCCTCGGGCCACTCTTTCACCGTGTCCAAAGCGAGAAAGAAAGCCATCGAATCCCCGGACATGTCTTCCACCGGACACCACGAGGACATCGAGTCCTACCCGGAGCCCGAGAGGACGTCGTGGTTCTTCGGAGTAGGTGATCGCTCCTCCTCTACCGATTTTATTCGCTTTGACACGCTATGCTTCTTATGCAACGTCTCCTAAAGACACCAACCTCGTACCACTCGTACAATAATTAAGGCCAAGCAGGTGAAAATAGTTCGAAATCAATTTATCATTGATACAATCAGAATCAGCAACTGCAACCGACGTGTTTTTAATTTCACGAGATTCGAGCATACTTCCTGATATTTTTTTCTAATGGAAAATTCAGATGCTCGTTAATTAGCACGAATTTTAATTGATTCCTGAACGTATAAAAGATCAAAAAAGCAATTTCTCCTTCGAAGGATGAACCAAATTGATGCAGTTAATTAACTTGATATACTTTCTATTACTTTCGTTTGCAAATTTATTTTAGAAGAGGCAGGAAGAATAATATAGAGCAAGTCGAGATGTTGGTATAGCCTTTTAAATTCTCTTGCAAGCTTGGGTCTGACGCGACCCGGTTCCGCAATTTAATTTCTTTGTCGTCTCTGCAAGGAGGGCATCACGGTCCCTCGAAAGAAGGTTTCGCGATCTTTCGTTGACCGTCGTTGACACGCAGTCGGGTCAAACGACGTTGTAAAGATGTCCAGACGATGTCGGGAAGATTCATGGATTCCATGAACGCCAGACGGTCGTTCGTCAATTAAGGATTTCGCTGGAAGAACCGTTCGCTTCGTAAAATGTGCTCCGGGAAAGAGCAAAGTTGTTCTATTTTATCCAGAAATTAATCTTCCACCGTAATGTCTAACAATAGAATGCGTAATAATTAATATTAAAAAGAAATTCAAGGCATTTCGTTTAATCGAGACGCAGATTTTGGCTATCAGCAAGGTATTAAAATGTCCGAAACCGCTTCGTCGTCGTGATTTCAGGTTTCTGGCGAGAGTTTGTTGACTCGAGCATGATCCACCTTTCCGGTTACCGTAACAGTCACGAAATTCATATCGTCCGTTCGAGAAGGACATTGAACTTCTCCGTAATGGATGACAAGGCAGGTCAGCGTTACGACACTGTCGCGTAAAAGCCGCGTTGCGCTAACAGCTTCGTAACAAGTTATCGTACCTGTTTGTTTAACGTTCCGACGTAAGAATTTATATTAGACAAAGACTAGTGAAAGCAAACGTAGCTTTTTCTTCTCTGAAACCGCGCGTTTCCGCGACGGAAACTCGTAGAATTTCCGGGGACGTGGGTATCCACGCAATCGGCGGGCGCATTAAAGTTACGAAATGCTTAATTTTCTGAAACGACGTCGGTCCATTAAGTAATTTCGACGTTCTTCAATTTGCAGAGGATTCCGACCTGTCCTGTGAAGAGTCCACAGCCCCTGAAGGAATTCGTGGGTCGCTGCCAGACGATGCCATCGCGAGTGAAAAAGTCCTTTTGCGGTTGCCTCCAGGTAAGAACCAGAATTATCTTAATTATTAACCTCCCCTGAGTAAGCGAGCCTCCGAAGTAATTACAAGTTACCGTGTAATTTGCCCGAGGTTACTTTCTCGCTTATCAGCGGCCTCCACGAAAAGAAAAAGAAACTATAAGCCCTTCCGCAATTTCTTTCTTAATCAAACTTGCATACTCCGATCGATAGTGGCTCCGTTCGAGCCTTCGTTAACCCATCGAGTATGGAAATTACTGTTTTTCGAAAGGCTGCCTTTTAAACTACTCGACCAGCAAATGGTGTGTTTCGTAAAATTGCCAGCGTTTAATATTTCCGCAATGAAACTCGTTTCACGATCATGTTTACGAATCTCGTGTGTGTTTTGTGCTTGCACGAGACAAAGTAAGTCGGAAAATGTCGTTAGAATGGTTGCGACAGCGAGTAATGGTAACAACGGCTCGTCGAAAGCAGAATAAATCGAACGACCGATTGACAAATTAGTTGGCTGGCCAGTTTGCGAAAAAAGTGGAATCCATTTTCGCGCGATTTCTTTGGATTCGTATGCGCCGCGAACGACGACCTATCGCTTGGTTTTCCACGAAGCCGATCGTCCATTAGGAAGTCGTCGGGCGAGTCGACTGGTCGGAGCGACCGGAAGTACGCGGACCGCGGATGGGCAGAATTTTTTAAATATTTAGAACCCCTTTGAATTTGCAACGCTTTTACGGGTCTCCGGCGCAAAAGACTGTCTCTCTGAAGCTTTCTGAAAGGATGTCGCGTTCGTCGAGATCACTCGCGTTTCCATCTCGAAGGGATGACGGCGCATTAAACCGTTGCAGCCCGGTACACACCCAGAAATGCAAAGCATTCTTTGCGCCGACTCGAATGACATCTGCAATGCAAAGCGTGGCTCTATGCATTCGCAGAGTGTCGACGCGCCCGACACCCGGCGATTATTGGACCTTTTAGATCCTGAAGAGGAACGTCTAGACTGTTGATGGCGAATCAAGAATCCTCCGCGTGCCAATCTGCGGTTCGCTCAGCGGTTCTCGAAATATTCGACGAGCAAAATCACCACCGTCGCATCTTCCCTGACAAGCATACAATCCCCAGTGTTCTGAAACTTACTTTTTCAAAGAATTCTGAAACTTTTTCGTCGCAATATGAATGTTAGCTGTCGAATAACCGTGTTATTCCGTGTTAAATGTAGCGCACGTGAGGGTTCTAATCTGGATTCTTCGCTTTCCAACTCGTTCATTAACGGTATTACCTTTATATCTCACGATTGTCGGAATTTACTGCCTATTTGAACGTGTTTCGGTCCATTAAACATCTCACCGATGCCTTTGCTGCTTCGCGGTAACCTGTCGAGGTGCAAGATTCGATGTTTCATGAATAATTTATTTTCCAACATGTGCAAATGTAAATTTAACCATTTCGATCGCACCAGACTTCGAGCAATTAACGATTACTGTCTCGCTGCTGTTCCGATGGCTTTCAATTTGTGATTTTACGTCGCTGTAACGATTACGTCGGGGGAATAAAACGAGCGTGGAACTAATTGTCAAGAGAAACGATATAGTATATAATAAATGTGCATCCAATTTTTCGTCTGCCTCGGATTTCGAAAGATATCGCAGCTAGGATTTCCGATAAATCGGAGAAAGGCCAATTGGATTCGGATCGAAAGTGGCGAAGATTGAGTCATTAATCGAGCTTCCGGTCGCTCCACTGCGTTCGCAATTATCGCATTGCGAGCGGATTATAAATCAATCGCGAACTGCTCCTGAACCAGAAACCCACCGAAAGTGACGTTAGGAACTCGATATTGGAACGATCCTATCGAGACCTAGTTAAAACAAGATATACCAGCATTGCTAAATTATTGTTTCGAGTAGAATACAATTTCAATTTCAAAGTTCCACCTCTCTCGCTTAGATAAGCAAATATTGATGAAAAGGTTTGCATATCTTATCGCTATATGTAGAAGAGAACAAAGATAAGACACAAGATTAAAACCTAAACATTCCTTTTTTGGTTATCTCTCCGAAATTCCAAGCAGTTAATGAGCTTCGTATACCCGTGAAACCAGCTTTTCCGCGTGGAAAAGTATCAAGAAATCTAAGAGTGTGCCTTTCTAATAGGAATTTAGTAATGAACATAGGCGTGCCGCGAAATAAAAAGGATCTGTCTTTGATCCAGGGTGTAACGATTTACTATTACGAGGCCTGCAACAGCGCGTTAAAATTCTCTGGGGAATTGCTTCCAATTAAAATACAAAACGTGTCCGTTCTGTTTCGCTTGGCCGTCATGGAAAAGTGACTCGCTAAACATCGAGACGACGATAACTCTTCTTCTGGTGGGAGAAGATAAGGCTCGCGACAAACGACTCTGGTAGCGTCGCGGGCATCGTAAAACTGACAATAAAGCGGCTCGATAAATTTCCTCGCGTCGCAGTTTCCGCCCAAAAAACGAAGCAATGAGTTTCCTCGGTTCCGATAATCGATAAATTATTCATCGACCATCGTTCGCCGGATGGAAAAGTTGGGAGACTCTGGGCGGCGAGAAGTTGCATTGTCACGGGTCGGTGCATCTCGTTCGTACGAATTATCCGCCTTTCCGGGGTCTTTGACTGCAGACGCCTATCTCGATCGGATCAGGAAACATCGAACGTCATCGTTAGCGGATGTCTGTAAACTTGAATTGTCTCGTTCCATGCTAGAAGAGGAATTTCACGAAATTGGAGATCAGAGACTGTGTAAACCTTGTGACGTAGGATCACGCGCATTCTAATCTAGATGGAGATATCTTTTTTGATAAAAAATAATAAATGTCACGCGTCTGTGAAACGTCTTTCGCATCGTCGGAGTCCAGAGGAGATACTTAGGTGGTCCGCATTAAATTGAACACCCTGTGCGTTCGAATCGCGCGCTATTAAACATTTTCTCGCAAGATAAATGAACAAAGAAGCATAATCCAAGTTCCTCGGGGCGATCGATGGAGCCTGAAGGCGAGCGCCCTTGAATGCATCCTGGCCGAGTAGGAAGCACACTGAAAAAGGATGTCTGCAGCCGCTTATCTGCGATCTAAACTCGGACTCCGTTTCAATCTGGATCGCCAGATGCGATCTACGCGAAAGAAACATCCGAGGGCAACGGATTTTCGTGAAAAGTTTTATATTGTGCTGCACGCCGCGTAGATTTTAGAAGGTTAGGAAGTAATCGAGTGAGTTACGAGGAGAAGAAAGTTGTCCGACATAGGCAACCATGAAATCACACCGCCTTAATAGCAACAATAATAATAAAATGCACGTCTACGTTGCGTCCATGACACGGTACGGTGGTTAGCGACTGCAGGTAATTAACATTAAACGCAACAGCGGCGACGATGATAGGTGCCAGCTAATTAAACGCGAAACGCGATTTCTGCTATCGCGGAGGAACGTTCGCCATTCACATGCCGCGAAACAATACGCGTTTGTTTCCATTTTTATCGATGTTCATCGCTTAATTTTCATGGTTCGCGCGTTGGATGCAGACGGGGAAGATCCACTCAGCGTCGCACTCGCGATCCGTCTGCCCGATAATGGGAACGCGGATGCTGCTGACGGGTGATAAATCCGTTCGTAATTCGCGTCCCGATTTCGGAATAGACGTCTCAACCGAGACGTCCATTTTCCGGATAAACGCACCAGGAAACCGAGTGCCATTGAGCTCTCGACGCGTTCGATCCTCCTTGTTTTCGCCCCACCTCTCTGCCTCTGCATCCATCAGACACCTTCGAGGACTTGCTTTCGTCGTAGCTCGATAAGATCTTCCCTGAAACTTCCGGGATTTATTTGCATTTCATTTAAAACAAGATATAAAGAGGATCCAAAGTTATATAATTTAGCAATTAACGAGTTGCGATCGATCTCGTCGAGGGTATTCGAGAATTATTTATTATACCGATTAAATCTGGACCGCGATAGTGTCGACGATCTCTGCGATCGCGATTCGATCGCGGGGATGATCCTTCGAAGGGGAATCCGCTCGAGGAAGATAGATGAACCGTGGAACGGACGATCGAAGATCGAAGCGCTCGCTTAGAAGCGTAGGTTTCCATCAATTATCTTCATGGGAGTAATAATAGGCAAATTGGTCCAGCGACAGTGAAAAATGGTCCCTTCGATTAACGATTCTGGATCGACACGAGCGTTTTATCAACGTGACAGGAAAAATTGATAATTCCAGTACCGTGGGGGTGCTTCTCGTTTTATATTTGCTGTAATTGATATCCGACGAAGGTAGTCTTACTTTTGGTAAAACTCTCCGTTGGCTACCAGATATCCACGGATCACACACGTTTCTCTGCGATCGAACGAATTTTTTGCATCCATCGGATAGTCGAGAGGAACGCGAATCGTCGTTCCAGCGAACGGTCTTCTAAAAAGTGTGCTTCCAGGAGGAACTCGCGATGGTTCCCAGTCGGCCAGTCGTCCTTGAGCAAATCCTGTGACCCGTGGATTCCATAATGCCGATCAACCCCGGGTCGGCGCTTCCTGAGCGCCGCAGGGCGTGTCTTGGCGAGAAAAAGGGAGAACATAATCGTATTTCCAGCATCCTCGGGAATTCTGTAGTCCTTTTTTACCCGGTCGGATCTGTCGAACGAGAGATCCGCCGGGAATGGAATGCACCGTAGAAGGCAACGAGCCGCGCGGTGGAAAGTCTCAAAACGATCGGTATCGTGCATGACTCACGGTGCACGTTCGTTCTTTTTCGATGTTTCAGCGGCGACGCTTTCAATTATCGACGATGCTGGAATTTATACATCGCCGGTCGTCCATGTTATCGGAAGCGCAAGAACCGATGGAAACGCACGGGCTTTTTCCCAGCGATCAACGAACCGTGTTCCGTTCGGTTTTGCATGCCTCCGCGCCGCGGCTCCTTCGGACATTTTGGATTCTTCGCCAAGCATTATCGCTCTTCGTCCGTCTCGTTCACGTTATCGAATCCCGGATAATCCACGATCCGGGAAAAATC